GTTGAATCCTCCTTCGAAATTAAACGTGCTTTCTACTCCCAGTCCCAGCTTGGTTTCTCCGCCGCTCTCCACGACTGACTCTTTTTTGGGGGGCCCTGACCATTTGTGTTGCTCCAGATTGTGGGCCAGCCAACCCAAAAGAAGGCTTCGCTTTTGGGTTTTACCTGCGGAGTCTTTGGCATTTTCTCCTTTTGTGATTGAAAGAAGCAGTACTAGCATGGAGAGCTGCAAGCAGAATTCATTGGTGAAGTTTAATTCAAAATTTCAAATTGTTTTCGGTTTTAAGGTGGGCAGATATAGATTTTGATGGGTCGATTGCTAGAATATACACAGGGTGTTGCAAATGTTCGACTGAGAATTCAAAAATGAGAGTCGCCAATTTTATGAACTTTGAGCTTTTTTGTGTTTTTGTACTTTGAGGCTGTTTAGCAAAAGTTTGAGTTCTTTTGACTCTCGGAAAATGTGTCAAGTTTATATTTTTGGGAAATTTGACTCGTTATGAAACAATCGTCAGTTGCTTGTTGCTCACTTTAGCGTATTCAAATTCCTCGATTTCTTGGGAATTTGGGGTGATTTTGGAAGCAAAGTTTTTAGAATTTTCTCAAAAATAATACATCTTGTGGTTTGGAAAAATCATCATTGGGTCTTTGCGGACATTTTATGATGCAAAATTATATACATTTTCACTCAAACTGACGTAATACATGCTCTAAGAGAGATAAAATAACGGGCGCACATAAATATTTTTCACGTTTTCACTCTATATCCATGATTCTGGCACTGAAGACACTGAATAGGTCACTTACGTTTATGAATAAGTTCATATTGACTGAAGATTAAGCGCAACTGAGGAATTAAAACTTCAAAACACTAACACTTGGTAGTATTTATAGAATAAAATCGCCCTTCCAAGTTGATCTGGTTAAGCCACATTAGTTAATACTGACAGCATTTAGTTAACTATTAAAACCTATAGATCTTAGATCTGGTTAAAGTACTTCCGTTGCAAGTTCTGGGACTTTGTGATTGGATTTTTAATTTATGCTGGTTTTACTGGAAGTTTGCATTATTTTATATTATATAATAAATACGTAATATTAAATAATACATTAAACATTTATACACATACAAAGGTATCTGAAAAAAAATTTGAGGCCTCACTCGGGGATTTAAGCTCTTAAGTCCCAAAATTTCCAAAAAAAATAAAAAATGGGTGCAACATTTTTTATCGAAAAATTTTATCGGCAAAATTACAAAAACCTTTTAATTTCCTTTAAAAATTCCGAAAAAAATTTCCTTTAAAGGAAAATTGCTATTCGAGGATTTCTATAGAGTGCCTGATAAAAGCCCTTGATGAGATTTATAAAAAAAAAATTTTAATAATTTTTCATAAAATGTAAATTTAAAAAAATTAAATTTTGATAAATACATTAATAACACTTAAGAATAACTTGACATAATTTGACTATTAAAAAATTCAAATTTTAATTATTTAAAAAATTTCAGAAGAAATCAAAAAACCTCGCGTTAGTTGTTGAATCCAAAAACTAAACTGAAAAGCAAAAATTCGGTTCCAAAGGTAGTATTCTGGGTGCGATTTCTTCGATTTTTCCCTTCGAGTCTACATAATCTGATAGTCGCAAACCACGCTGGCCATAAGGCTTAATCTAAGGAAAATTAATGCACATAACACACTTTTACATCTGACCCAAACTTGTCGCTGATTTATCAACATATATTATCTATTTTTGCCGATCATTCGCAAAAATATCGGCCATTATTGCCTGTTCTGGTAAGGCTGCATTGATTATAACGCAGATTTTGCAATTAACTCTAAGCACCTGGTAATTACCTGCGTTTCATATTTGCTTCATTATGTCATTTTTTTGTCGTACTTACAAATTATTGTTATGTCATGTTTACAATGCGACTGGAGTGGTGGAGTGTTTAAAAAGTTGATTTTTTCAATTCTCAAATTGTTATGAACTGTTCTTCATTTTTAATATTTTCATTAAAAGCTTGTCGGAATTTCCATTTTTCGTAGTCAGCTTTCAGGTTTGCTTCGAAAAGCAGTTGCAACTTTCATATTTAATTGAATTGGTCTTAAAGGAGGAATGCTTTAAATTTTAAATTACATAAAAGCTTGAATATCGATTCAAGCTCCTTCTTGAGGTTTCGCTGCCAAGTGTTATGGGTTTATTTCCGCAAGTTTCTTCTAGCAACAACAATCTCTTGGCTTCTTTGTTAATAACATGGTTGTTGTACTAACCATTCCATAGATGACGCCCACGGTTCTAAGCAATGAAAATTTCAATTGTTTATGTGTGGAATTGCTCTTGCACAAAATCGTCACTTGCAAGGTTTGATAGATGATTATTAAGCCAAGAAAGGAGTAAAGTGGTAATTTTGTGAAGCTCACAGTCAAGAATTGTTCCGAATTATCTGAAGATGACACTGATTCGAAACTGTTGCCCACTTAAAAACAAAATTAATTGGCTGCCCAAATCGGGTTTCAGTCGCGAATTATTCCTGAACAGTTCCCTACGTTCCAACAAAGTTAATTGGCTGAAGAAGCTGTTATTGAAAAAGAGGTCCGCATTGGGAAGTTTTGAAGCAAATATAAATTAGTATTGTTTTTCAATTTAAACACTTTATCTGGTCTTCGACCATGAACGTTTTATTCCATTTTTTAAGTACAGGCTTTTTAATTTGTTTATTTCAACCGGTTAATTCAATAGAAAATGCTTTCTTGATCCCTGGTGGAAAGTACACAGTTTCGTCACTGTTTTTGATCGCGAAAGAATCACTTTTACTCATTACAATGAGAATTTACCTTTCCGCTCATTATTCATAGCATATTACGATACAAGAGACGAAAGTCGAAGTTTCGCCACCGCTTGAAGTTGACGCCCGAGGCTAAGCCGAGTAGGCCTGGGTAACTCAATAAATTTTTAGGAGTTGGCGCAGTGCAACGTAAATAGCTTGGTGCGCCAACCCAACGCACGGGAGCAGTAATTCAGTTCCATGGCTGGGAAAATATTGATTACTTTTTTCACTTGTTTTTAGATTTGTTTTAATGGCTATTTATCAATAATATTTTTAACATTTCTTCAGAATTTTCCAGTTTTAGCAAAGCTACTCTTTTTTCGAAATGCTCATATTTTCTAAAGATTCACTTAAAAATACTGACAATCTTAAAGTATTTTTCGCGAAAAATTATGAAATACATTTTATTAGAACACTCGCCTGCTTCGTCATTTTGGAAAACGTTTTGAAATCTCTTTCCAGCTTCGAATTTGGAACAACAATCAAACAATTTTCTATCAATAAGCGAAAGTTTATAACAGATTATTTGGAAATCTCGTCACCTCCATTCCTCTGAAGACTGTAGAAGTTGTTAAAAATGTGGTTTTTTAGTTTTGACTGAATTTTTTTTACTTTGCTCTTTACTTAGAAATACTCTATTTTGTAGAGTTTCACTTAAAAATACTGACGATCTGGAGGTCTTTTACGCGAAAAATTACAAGATGAGTCTATAGCTTTGTAGGAATTTTACAAAAACTTTTTTCAACGTCGAATTCGGGACAAAAACGGAACAACAATGGAAAACAAAAAAAATCAACGAAAATAAATTTACCTCTTTTTTGGTGAAAATCATTATGATTTTCTCAAAAATCGATCACAAAACTTAAAGTTTTTAATCAAAAACGCAAAAAAACATTATTTTCTTCTTTTCTGACAATAATGAGGTGTTCAGCCAAAAATGATAAAATTAATTTTGCTAGAAAACTCGTCACTTTTGTCGCTGTGAATAATTTGGTTTATTGAAATTACGGTTTGTTTACTTTTAGGTCAATATTTCTAAACAAAACTCTCTCTAAACAGAACAACGCGTTTTTTCCTAACGTTTTACTGTAAAATACTGGTAAACTGACTGACTGGTCTTTTATGCAAAAAAGTTAGAAGATGGATTTTCCAAGAAAAGTCGTCGTCTTTACAGTTTGATCTTCTATATCATGTTTTTCGAATACCCGTTTTATCTTTGAATTTGGGGCAAAATCGAAACAAAGTTATCCTGTTTTTTTCGACAAAATTTAGGTTTTCTCAAAAAAAGACTCTACAAGAAACTCTCAAAAATATCCTAAAAACCGCTCTACAACTACGCGTTGCAGAGTGATAGTTGTCTATCTATTAGAATTGGTACACAACCGAAAAATGAGAGTTTCAGTGGCAACAAAAATTAATGTGAATGAAGGAATGAATTTAATGGAAAAAAAATGAAAAGGTTGCAAAAGTTGATTAGAATAAAACAAATCACCAATGTGACACCAATATCAACAAAACAATTGTCAAATAACTAGTTAACTAGTCAAAGGCCCACCACTGAGTGCATGAGGCCCTCGACTTCGCCTCGTGCGTCAACTTTAAGCAATGGAGGAACTTCAACGTTCGTCTCGCGTACCGTAATATACTATTGTGTATGTTTTGATTTAATATGGAATCCCATTCATCAAAAGTTATGGAACTCTCCTTAAGACAAAGACATTAATTCTATTAGTAAACTCGCAAAAAATGCAGGTTTTTTTCTTCGATTGGTACATAATATGGCGCGTTATGTACACTTCAAACTCATATTTATTCGGTAGAACGACCATCGAGAACACGCGAATTGAACTCGTACATTACAATTTTGCAACCTGATTACCTCTAATTATTAGCAAGATATTTTGAAATTTTCGTTTATTTCCTTTGGGTTTTCAATACAGCGCTACAATGCCGTCTTACGCAACTCTGCCTTAGTTTAGTTTATTGTGCCGCATTGGTGCCATTAGTCGTGTTGAATCCGTCGTTAAATATTCATTATGCAATGCGAGTGGACAGGCGTATAGTAACATGTTAGAAGAATTATAGCGTAGCCTTCCTTCAGTGCTTCATTGCTTCGGCTCCATGCGATTTCCCACATCGCTTGATTCAGTTGATTGAGTTATCAGTATTATGGTTTGCTTTACTTTCTACTTGCGTTTTTATTAAAACTGGTTTTTTCGTCGTTCTTGTGTTGAAATTGATGGTATCTGATGGTGACATTACACATTACATTCTCGTTCGATTGGAGAGGAAACTAGGCCAAATTTCATAAAAAATCTAGACTTGGACATATTCAAGTTCCTTGTGTAAGTAGGAAGGAGGTTGCCAATACGTTTCTTACATAATCTGGAATGTAGTTGCTGTTTTCGTTGAATTTGAAAAAATAATCGGTATATTGTACAAAAATACGTATATTTTCTACAAAAATAAGTTATAAGTAGAAAAACTTAACTTATTTGGCATGTTTTCCTCATAAATAATGAACAGGGACAAAATACATAACAGGTCAGGTGAACAGTTGAAAAACAAGAAACATCAATATAGTACAGAAAGGGCTCGAACCAGAACATTTACTCATGTTTAGGGGCTAAACGTAGTGGGTAGCGGTTCCAGTTCCAGTAACACAAGGAATACTACACACCCGGTGCGCCTGAAGTATATTCGGTTGTTTAATGGTAGCTTTCATATCCGCCCTCCCAGCCGCCGCCTCCGTGCACTGGCACGGCTACTGGTACCTTGACTGGATAAGGTACTGGTTTCTCCACTGCATAGGGTACTGGTTTGGCTACGGCATAAGGCACGGGCCTGTCCACGGCCACTTTAACTGGGTAGGGCACCGGCTTCTCTACCGGGTATGGAACTGGTTTCTCCACTGGATATGGAGCCGGGTAGGGTACCTAAAATCCACCCAATTAAAACCTCCTCAAGTCCTCCCCCAATATCCATACCTTGACAGCAACTGGGTACGGTTTCTCCACAGGGTATGGCACTGGTCTATCTACAGCTACCTTGACTGGGTAAGGCACGGGTCTTTCCACTGGGTAGGGAACGTTCTTGATCACATGAACTGGATAGGGTTGAGGCACATGGACTGGATAAGGCCTGTCTACGGCTACCTTGACTGGGTAGGGAACCTCCTTGTAGACTGGGTAGGGCTGGGGCACGTGCACTGGAACCTTGACTGGGTAGGGAACTTGTTTCTCAACCGGGTAGGGTTGGGGAACGTGCACCTTCACTGGGTAGGGGATGTGTTTTTCTACTGGGTAGGGTTGGGGTACCAACACCTTTACGGGGTAAGGCCTGTCGACTGGAACCTTGACGGGAACATGGACGATTTTTTCGACGGGGTAGGGTTGGGGAACTGGAACCTTAATGTGGACCGGGACCTTCACTGGGTAGGGAACTTGCTTCACTACCGGATAGGGGGCGGGCACTGCGACCTTAACTGGGTAGGGAACGTGTTTGGTTACCGGGTAGGGAATGTGCTTCTCCACTGGGTATGGAACTGGTACGCCTTTGACAACCGTGATGGTTTTTTCTGCATGGGATCCTAGGGAGAAAAACCTTGTTAGTAATTAGAAATCCATCGGGTTGTCCGTGCAGGTGTGGGTAAGCTTACCCAAGTAAAATGGTTGTAGGCTACCGTAGTCGCCATAACCAGCACCACCAGACACTATGTTTTTATAGCATTTTTATGGTAAGCAGTGCGACGGTGGTTTTGTGAGCGCCCTTACCTAGATCAATGCCGCCGTAGCCTCCATAGCCGCCACCGCCGCCCAGGGAAAGTCCACCATCCCAACCCCCATCTCCAACCGAGTAACCGTGGTCGATGTCACTACCATATCCGTAGCCCAAACTGAGCAATCCACGTTTGGTTTGTTTCTTTTCAGCCGTCGATTTCTTCTCCTTGCCCTCGGCATTTACTGCCACTGCTGCAAGGACTAAGATCGACGCTATTAACTGCGAAAAACAAAATCAGTTAGGCAAAATAGATAAGAACGTTATTTTCTACTGTTGTTTGAATTTCTTTCATTTTATGTTGCAACATGTTCTGTAGGATTTTCGTGTTAACAAGCATTTTAGCAACTATCTAAACAGAGTTAATTTGCTATTGTTCGACAAACAATTACGGACGAGTGAGACATGATTGTTTAACTGAAGCATTAAGTGTTATGTCACCGCCAGATTGTTCTTAATTAAGTGTCGAGGCGAATGTTGTGTTGTGGTTAATGTGCTGGTTAAGGTCAGTTTTACGTTGGTAAAAAGTGCGGTTTTACCCGGAAAATAATTCACTTTGTATTTCAATCAAAATATCTGTAAAAAAATTAATTGTAGCACTAAATCTGGACTGCATGCTGGCCAGGTTGACAATAACTTTCCATTGTTCTTTACAAGACCCGAGTGCATGATTGGTGTTTTCTTCAGTAGTTTAATATCTTCAAATACCCAAGTGTTTCGGGAGGAACAGTTGTGACGAATAAGAAGCTAATATTTGATGGGAGAAGTTTATTTGGGCTGCAAAAAACACCCTACTTGTGGAGGACGACTTGAAAATTTCAAACAGTATTTCGAAGATTTTGATTTAAAACTCAAACTTTTTAAATTTTCTTAGTTTCATCTAAAATTATTTTTTCTCTAGATTTGCCTAAATTTCAAAATATTTTTTCTATTGAAACACTTAAATTTGTAGCTTTGCACAAACTTTGCAAAATTTAATTTAAATAAATGCAAACCATAAGACCTAATCTGGTCTCCTAGCAGACCAGATTTAACTGTGCTTGAAGCTTTATGAGTATTCTTATCCTTATCCAGAAGAGTTTGCAATTTAAATTGGCCTAAATTGTGTGATTCGTTAGCTTATTAAAACTATTATTATTGTATAAACAATCACTTAGTGTAGTAAGTTAGCAAATTATAACGTTTAGCAATCAATGACCGGCAATTGCAAAATACACGGTGCAACCAGTAATAACGCTAATTGCTCGCGCTAATTTCGCTTTGATTTTGCATAATTTTAATGGTCTTTATTAATTTTTTTGCACAAGAAAATCGCTCGGAATCAGGTCGGGTGATTCGGAAGGTCCAAAGAAATCCCGGAGGTTCATTTTGAGCTTAAAATGCGCAAAAAACCGTAACCTAGACCATGGTTTGGGTCTGCTGATTGTCCGCATTTGGGTTTTTTGTGCTTCAAACCGCAGTGAATGGTCATTAGACAGTTTGGCCAATGTCGATGATTAGCTGATATTTTCCAGTCAATATTTATGTAATAAAGGTCAATAAAAATGAAAAATTAAATTAGTTTGAAATGTAAAAGCATGAGACTATCAACTTTTTGAAATCAATAATAGAAATTTTGATTAAGCAACAGGCACTTTGAAAAAAAATTGAAACAAACCGATGAGAAAACCACTCAACACTTTTTCGCAAGTAGACACTGAAAAAAGTCGCGAACCGAAAAAATCACTAAAAATTGTACCACTCACCAATGGCTTCATCGTGGTACACATGCAAGGGGTTGCTGGCTGGTTCGAAGAGAACTGAATACCGAAAACGTGCCCCCGTTGTCTTTTATAGTTCTAGCCGGATGGTACCACCGAGTTGTATCGCACCACTTACTTCTTCGGCGATGGTTCGGCGCAACGCGACGTGGGTTGATGCAACAACTCCTGGTTGCGAACCATTGCGAAGAGTTGAGAATCGCGACGGGATGATTTTTGAGCGGTGCGGGATCGATGTTTTTTGTTTGTTTATTCATAATAATGATGATGATGATTTTGGTGAGTGATTTGCCATACGATTTGCATGTTTTTCATTGAAATAACAACGTCGAGCTGAGTCATAGTTTGTTTATGGATTAATGTAGAAGATCAAAGGGATATTGTTCTTTTAATGCATAATTTAATAGAGGTTTTGGGAGTGACTTTTGATCAAAAACCAGTCTTTGACTTAGATTTCAGTCGATTTTATGCGTATCTTTATTATAGTGGAATATAATGAGAGTAGGGTTTGTCGTGGAAGCTAACAGAAAAAAGTTTTCACAATAAAAGTGGCAGTATTTCACGTGTACTAACGAAAATTTATTAAATGTTTACAGTTTGTTGGTATTTTATAACCATTCATTCACACAAGCTGTTATTATTCGACTGGCATGTGATTTAGAGTAGTTTTAATTATGTATTTAATTGTTTCATTATTTTCCTTTGCTTTTTTATGTCTCCAGTCGTGTTTTTCTCTTCTCCTTTAATATTTGTCACTTTTGTATGGTTATTCGAAATTACTTTTAAAATATCTTATGTTAATTTATTTGTTGAATTGTTCAAATGAGCCTCATTCGCGTAATTTAAAGCATGGAAGATCAATTTTATTTCTGTTTTCTGGTGTTTTTGGAAACACTGTGAAATTTTCAATGTCGTCTGTCTTTTTCTTTAATCTGTATCACTTTTGCATGGATATTTGAAACTACTTTCAGATTATCTGTATTCATTTCATTTCTGAACGATTGAAGTGCCTCATTCTTGTAATTTGAATTTTAATATTTCTCTTTACTTTTGTTGTTTGTCCTTTGTCGTGTTTTTCTCTTCGTTAAAATTATCACTTTTGCATGGTTATTTGAAGCTACTTTATATCCGTTATTGATTTCATTTCCGAACTGTTGAAATGAAACTTTTTGCTCTGTTTTCTTGTGTTGAATTTTTTCAATGTTGCCTAACGTGCTTATTCCTTCTGATTGATTCTTCGGTATGGTTATTAGAAACTACTTTAAAAACTCCCTTATTAACTTAATCGATGAATTGTTGAAATGCCTCATTCGCGTAATTCAAAGGTTGAAGGTTCCATTTGATTTCTGTATGCTCGTGTTCAATTTTTTCACTGTCGTCTGTCTTGTTTTTCTCTTTTTCTTTAATCGTTATCACTTTTGAATGGTTGTTTGAAACTACTTTTAGAATCTCTGTATAAATTTAATTTCTGAATTATTGAAGTAGCTCATTCCTGTAATTTGAATATGAATATTTTCCTTAATTTTAGTATTTTTGTGTTGCATTTTTTTAATGTCGTTTGTCGTGTGTTGATCTTCGTTAATATTTGTCAGTTTTGTATGGTAATTTGAAGCTACTTTACATCCGTTATTAATTTAATTTCTAAACTGTTAAAATGCCTCATTCGCGTAATTTAAAGTTGAAGTTTCCTTTTGCTCGGTTTTCTTGATTTTGATTTTTTCAATCTCGCTTGTCGCGTTTTTCCCATTGTTAATCTTTGTCACTTTTGCATGGCTATTTGAAACTACTTTATATCCGCTATTAATTTAATTTCTGACTTGTCAAAATGCCTCAATTGCGTAATTTGAGCACTTTAAGTTTCTTAGTTTATTTTTGATTTTTTGAGATTATTTTTTTCACTGTCGTCTACTGTTTCCTTTCATCTTTGTCACTTTGGCTTCTGATTCATGTCTTGGTTGTTCGCTTCAGTTCGAATATTAAAAGCGTGAATTGTTGCAATATGTAACTCATTAATCAATGAGTTATAACTCATTTATTAAAGTGGATTGAAGCTTTACAATACTGGAATTTTAACATATGAAAAAAGGGTCATCAACATTTTTTATGTTTTACCACTTTGTCCAAGCAACTAAAAAAACGGGTCACTTTATTTTTTCAACTCATAATTTCATAACTCAACAATTTTGTTTCACTTTGTTGCGTTCTAATTGGAAAATTAATTTAAAAAAAACAACAAAACAAACAAAGTAACAACAAAAAATTGTTATTATGCATAATCTTAATCTACAGTGAAGAATTTAATGGACTCGATTACAATCCATACCTGCTTCCTTCAACTTAATTGAAGTAACGTTGTCCCAGCGCAACGGAACTTAGGACGGAGTTACTGCGCCGGTTCGTTGAGTTGGGGTACAAAGCCATTTGCGCAGCACTGCGTCAGCTTCTAAAAATTCACTGAGTTACCCAAGCCTAGCCGGATCGGTTGGAGCTTTTATGATCAGAAGACAGGGAAAACTTCTATGATATTCGGAAGCTTTAAGTACCTAAAGTAATGTTAATTGCAACTTACAAAATTAGCGACACTTATGGGCTCTTTTGCGCCCAGGAAATTATTCAAATCACCTTCAGATCAAGAGTCTGCTGAGAAAAAAAGACTCGAGACCAAACAATCGCGTACGTTGTAGCTGAATAATCTTTGCTGATTTTCATTTATAATAAATAATATAAATGAAATGTTCATAACATGCAAATGTACCTCATTCGTAACAGTAACCGTTGTACTACGGTATGTCGGGATTAGCCAATTTTAGCAAGTTTTGTGGATTAGCGGGTCATCTCGGGTACCAGCTGACGCGCAACGTACTTGAAGTTACATAAAGGACAAGTGTTGCTCCTTCATGTCCGCCTATCAGGAAACCGTCCCATAAGAATCCCACCGATACACTTTAAAATCAATTTGCAATTATTAAGATATCTATATAATGGAAACCGAATTGATAAATATTTTATAAGCAGGTACTCCATCCACATTTTTGGCCGCCAATTACGCAATGATGATTAGCTGGTTTGATGGATTGGGCGTACCCGTAATTGGACGATTTTGAAAAAGTGGTCTTTAAACGTCGCTAAAAGTTTCAAATCAATTCGACCGATTGCCCAATTACGTCGCTTCAGCTCAATATACTGGGTGGTGAAAACAAGGATTTTCAATATTTATCGCCTTAAATATGTGCAATTAAGCAGCCGCAATTTCTTCTTCGGGCCAGACAAGTTGTTCAGGCATCGCTGCCCTCTTTCCTTGCGCCCGTGTTTTGCAACGGACGCAAAAAATATGAAAACCAGAAATGAAACAAGTTTAAGGACGGAACACTTACACTTTCTTCGTATCGAATACGTGAACTGTTACTTGATGATGTAAGCGACGGTTATGCCGTTCCACAAGGAGAATATGCATTTAAACCAGAGGGAATTTGCGCGATTTTTGAAATTGTTTCAATTTAGCACCTAGAGTGGTTTTTTAGTGTGTTAAGCTTCACACCCATGTAAATGGGCGAAGAATGCCTTCTGTTGCGTTTGTTTGGTGCACCCTTTAAGGCTACGCCCACATCTTCCATAGTGTTAAGGTTAAATCTTTGTTGCAGGTACTTCGTCAGCACTCTTCTTCAATTCCAAATCTACCGAGCGCTATGCCAAGCAGCTGGCCAATATGTGCCAGGCGATTACACCAAACCTCTTCATAAGTGCGACATTTACCGAAGCAAAGAGGCTGGAAACATACTGAGGTAAGATCAAGTTTAACATTAGGGAGCCGACACTCGTGCTCAAGGTGCTGGCAAACAGTTAATTAGTCGGTTGCATAGTGCAGGCCCGAATTTTTTGCCGCTACTTACTGACTTTGAAAACCATTTGAAAGTAGATCCAGTACTTGATTGAATTTCAATTTTTTTTTCTCGAACAAGAATTTAGCCATGACTGATATTTGGCCGTACCATTAAGGTGCTTATTTGGAAATAATGCTGGCTCTTTTATTATAATCAGCCAGTCAAGGTAAATGGCGAAGACTGATCGAAAAGAAGACGCGCGCTGTTTACTTTCGCCCAGAGGGATTCTTATGGATTTTAACTGGCACTCAATGCTAAGTGCGATGGGATTCTTTGAGATCCATCGACCGTGAACGCTTCCGTTCCAATTATGCCACAATTGGTACCAGTGGCGATTTATAATTTGCATTATGCAATCAAATATCGTTTGCTACATATTATTAAACCGCCTGGTCGACCCACATACATGAGAGTTCTTATTAGAAAAATCGACCGCGCCAGTACTCTACGGTTTCCGTTATGCGATACATGGGAATTATCGCTGTTTATGACATGTATTTCGCATGAAATGTGAGTGGCAAATATGTCGGATTTCTCCCCGTTCAAAATACGCGTTATGTAAGGGACGACTGTATCTTGCAGGGCATTTAAAGTAGGCCTGAGTATCACTGTTTTGAGTTGCGCTATTGAGTTGTTGCCACTCTCTGAGTTAACGAGTTATAACCCATCGCTTAATGAGTTATAAGTCATTTATTAAAGCTTTACGAGACCCGAGACTGGAATTTTCACATAAAAAAGGGCCATCAACATTATTTCTCAGTAACGTTTTACTGCTTTGTTCAAACAACTGAAAAAAGTAATCTAGATTTTCCCTGCAACAGAACTGAGCCCAAAGAAAGTTGACAAGTTTTCTTGCATAATCGATCTCTTAATTTTTTTGCGTAAAACATTCAGTTTGCAAGTATTTTACAGTAAAACGTTAGGAAAAACGCGGTTTTTCCGTTTAGAGACAGTGTTGTTTAGAAATATTGAGCTAAAAGTGAAGAAACCCCAGTTTCCAAGAGTTTTCCAAATAAATTATTATAAACTTTCGGTTTTTCAGTTCTGGAGAATATTTTTGGAAAAACATCCAGAAATAATTATTACGGTTTTGTCCATAATTCGTAGATGCAACAAGTTTTTTTGCACAAAATGTATTTTATAATTTTTCACAGAAAATACCTGAAGATGGTCAGCATTTTAAGTAAAACTAAAAAATAATGCGATTTTTGCGTAGAAAGAATTACTTAATAGAAACTTTGTTAAAACTGGAATGAAAGGAAAATTTAAAGAAACTTTAAAATTCTTCATAGCGATGAGGGCGGCGAATTTTTCAAATCATTTTTGTAAAAATTTGCTCTCTGGTCTTTTTTTTCCAAGATAATCCTAATTACTTTCGGTAAAAAACTGAATAAAATTATTTGGATTTTGTGCCAAATTCGAAGCTGAAAAGAGTTTTCTAAAGTTCCCTGCAAGCCCAGGAAAAAAGCGAATTTTCTGGTAAAATTAATTTTGTCATTTTCGATTGAAAAGACCCCATTATGTCAGAAATTAAAATAATCATCATAAAATAATAATTTTTTGCGTTTTTGATTAAAAACTGTTAGTTTTGTGGTCGGTTTTTGAGAAAAAAGTTTTGGTAAAATTCCTATAAAGTTACAGATTTATCTTGTAATTTTTCATGTAAAAGACCTCTAGATCGTCAGTTTTCTGACGAAAAAAATGACAGTCAAATGTAAAAATCCACATTTTTTAACAAACTCTACAGTCTTCAGAAAAGTGGAGGTGACGAGATTTCGAAATAATCTGTTATAAACGTTTGCTTATTATGTTCGTTTTTGATAGAAAAATATTTGATTTTGTTCCAAATTCGACGTTGGAAAGGGATTTCAAAACTTTTTCCAAAGCGACGAAGGATTCGAAATTTATTTCCATAATTTCTCGCGGAAAATATCTTGGAATTGTCAGCATTTTTAAGTGAAACTTTAGAAAATTGAGCATTTAGAAGAAAGAGTAACTTGGCTACAACAAGAAAATTCTAATATTTTGAAGAAATTTTAAAAATAATGTTAACAAATGGCCTTTAAAATAAATCTAAAAACAAGTAAAAAAAGTCATCAACATTTTCCTGCAAAGGAACTGAGGTACTGTGACGGTGCGCTGGCGCACCAAGCCTTTTGCGTAGCACTGCGCCAACTTACCACGCCTAATTTACAAGGTGTCCACAATTTGCAATGGAATGTAATTTGTAGCGGCAAAACAACGAAACTGAGGAGGATCGAATGTTTAACATCAGAAATGACTAAAGCGGAAACAAGATATTTCGAGTTTAAAGAGTTTGGAGCTTTACGAGAACTTTCAAATAGAAAGTGAGTAATTTCAGTTCAAAGTCAAAATTTGACTTCTGGAGCTTGGAAGTCAAAGCTTGCAGTTCGAGTTTTAAGGCTGACGTTTCCGAATTACGCCTGGGTAACTCAGTGAATTTTTAGGAGTTGACGCAATGCAGCGCAAATTGGGATCGGCACAGGCGCAGTAGCTCAGTTTTGTAATCGGTAAAACGTTACGCATAAAAAATGAGATGATGAAAAACTTTTTTTGTTGTTTGGAGTGTTGTTCCAGTCTCCGGTCTCGTAACGCTTTAATCCGCCTTAATACTTGAGTTATAACTCATTAAATCAGAAAGCGGAAACAATTGAAAAACGCAACTCAACACAATGTTGCGCAGCCCTACTGCCAGCAATACCAATTTTTTTTTCGGTTTTTAATTTTCGAGCGACAAGAAGCGACAACGTTATTTCCCTGGACACTGGTTCAAAAGAACTGAGTGAGATGGCCTAATGCCAAAGCATCGATTGGAAAGAGCGCACTTTCTTCTCAGGATGGGGAACGTTTTGCTTTTGAGCCATCATCAGGCAGGTGGCAAATCAAATTTCAGTTCATCAATCAAATCAAAAATCAGTTCGGCCTAACCGGAGTGGAATGGAACGTGGCCAGGGCATGTATTGGAAAGAGCACACATTAATTTGTGGAGTTTGAAAATTTCGTTTTTCTGCGATAAAATCGAGGACGATTTGAGAAGCTTTCCAGGTTGGATTGAGAGTGTTTTTCCTTAAATTGCGCTTCAAAATGCATTTCTGCTAAACTGAGCAAGATTAAACTAAGTGGAGAGTTTTAGTATGGAAGTTTCATATACGCACCAACATCAGCAGTAAAATAAAATGAGCGCAAAAGTTCATTAATCGATTTCTGCCAATCTACTGGTGATGGGACGATGTCAAGTCATTTAGTAACATCCAAAGTGTCTAATTGGATTGGAGTCACTGGTTTCGACCCAATAAACACTCAACTGGCCACTTGACAGGTTTTTTAAAAATCAGTGTCGTGCCCGAAGGACTCGACACAACGAATACATTAAACACTTCGGGCTATCGAAGTTGTTGTGCCGAGCCTTTTGAGCACGGCACTGGTTTAGAGCCAAAAACACTCTGTTTTGGGCATGGGTAACTCAGTGAATTTTTAGGAGTTGGCGCAGTGCGTGTGTTGTAACTCTCCTTAACAGATGAGCTAAAATTCCTTAACTCAGACAGCGGCAACAGCCTAAAAGTGCAGTTCAACACAGTGTTACCTATGCCTAGATTGTTGCAAGTCCGCCAAGAGCTCAATTCGAGGTGCGGCGCAGTGCGTCGCCATTAGTTATAACTCCGCAACTCACGGAGCGGCATCAACTCAAAAGCGCATCTCAATACAGTGTTCCCCAGGCCTAGATTTTTGCAGCCAGAGTTGATGTTGCCAGTTGTGAGATGAGGTGGATGAAGTCCGCCAAGAGCTCAATTGGAGGTGCGGCGCATTGAGACGCGATGAGTTATAGCTCAGCAATTCGCCGGGCGGCAACAACAAAAGAGCATCTTAACACAGTGTTACCCAGGCCTATTTCGAATATCAAATTAAATATTTTCGTTTACAAAGGCGCCTGCCTTTTTGTCAAGTGGAATTTTTGCGTTCAAGCGTTTGAAAGTGCTAACTCTTATTCCATGAGAAAATGCAACTGAAATAGTCAAAGTCAACCATCAGAGTTTCCAGTTTAAAATTGAAATTTACCGTGTCCGAATGTTAAATTACATTAATCTATAAATGTAAAATAGGCAAAATGTGAAAAGCTTTTCAAAATAAACGCTTTAAGTACCAATCACACACAGACGTTCTTAGGTAACGCTTCACTAAGCAAACGAAAGTTTATTTCCATCAATTTCACAACATGCAATGCTAAATTGCAGCGGAAATTGCGCCTCACTCAGTTCCATCAAACTTTGTTCTCATCTAAAGAGGGCAATTCTTCAGCCATCCTGTGCTCAATGAATGAAATGTGGTTTACTGAAGCTCCAACCGTCCGGTGTGGTATTTAAAAAATGATTTTTGTCGCTGAAAACCACAAATAATTCTTTGCCAAGTGCAACGAATAGAAAAGCAGTGCGATTGCACAACCAGCCTAGAAAACGCGATTGACGTCACGTTATTGTTAATTGTTTACCGCTTGGGATTACTGATTAGTTCAAGATCGATGCGTGAGTTAACGCATAATTTCACTCTCGATCTTCGATGGCATGTTCATTTCGCACTAAGGTAAATGCCGATTTATTCCATAAAAAGTACGTTGTATTGTTAAACTTGTTTAGTTGAATGGGTTGGACTTTGTGCGTGCTACAGCCAAAAATGATGCAATAGAATAGCCTGATGCAGCACACCCATAGAGCTTCTTCAGTATCTGCAACCTAATTCAATTGTCTAATTCCTTCTTGGATAATTAAAAAGTAAAAAAAATAATCAGAAAATGTGGCAAGGGCCAGTTGACCAATAATGAAAAGCCATGAAAATAATATAAGCCAACTTATTTTGTATGTTTTTTTTAAACAGTTGGTTAAAAT